CAGCTTCTCAGAGACATTCCTTTTCCTTATTTCTCATTGTTCATCACACACAGCATCCATGCCTACTTGTATAATCTGGAGAGTAACAGAGAAACTGAGGCTGTTTTTCAAGGAGTCAGCTGATCATTAGCACAGAATCCAAGCATCAAATGTGAGGTCCCTCGGGTTTCCTGAGGAGAGGATAGTCATCTTGGCTCCATACTCTGCCTTAGGAGACAAGAACACCAAGGGACCAGGCCTGACAGCTGAAGACAGCGGATTCCATCCATGCTCTTGTAGTTTTGCTCATCCAAGTGAAATGAACTTACTTGATATTTTTTTCCTTCTTGATCCCAGAGGGCAAGAATTCACATATCTTTGAACCAGATTCCCTAATCTGTTTCTATATCATTTGGCCTCTTGTGAGCCTCCTGATGATCTTTGTTACATGGAAAGCAAAGTGGATCAGCTGAAGGCCCGGCCTGGGTCACTGAAATGTGTTCTTCGTCATTTGTGCAAAGATTGGAGCTGCCCAGGGGTAAAGGTTCTTTTCTCAGAGCTTACCTCTGTTTTGTTTTTAGAAAAGAAATAATTTAAATTTTGTCCTGTGATAAACATTTACTACTTCAAAAAAGGAGAATCTTCTAGGTGTCATAACTGGGTTCCTTAGGTCTCAGTGAAAGTGGCCTCCACATTTACCATGCAGGTAAGTATAGGGAAAAAAGAACTGGTCTAGAATACATCCTCTAAACATCCAAGAAAGATTTTCTGTTTTTTTTTTTTTCCCAAAGACCTAAATGTAAAGCACTGTATTTTATATGAATACCTATAATATTTAAGCTTTTATTTTGAATAAAATATACATTTAAATATAAATATAAGCTTCATTTTTACAAAGTAAACAGATCTGTTAACCACCACCCAAATCAAGTAATTGAAAATTGTCAAGACTCCCACAGTTCTCTATCATTCCCCCTCCAAAGGTAATAATTATGTTAGGTTCTTTTACCATAAATTAACATTCCTATTTTTGTAGTTCAATTAAGTGGAATCATACATTATGTATTTTTTTCAATCTGACTTCTTTTTTTTAAATATCTTTTATTCATATGTGCATACAATGTTTGGGTCATTTCTCCCCTTTCCCCCCCATCCCCTCCTTCTCTCCCCCAACCCCCTCACTTCCAGGCAGAAACTGTTTTGCCCTTATCTTTAATTTTGTTGAAGAGAGAGTATAAACAATTATAAGAAGGACCAAGGGTTTTTGCTAGTTGAGATAAGGATAGCTATACAGGGAGATTCTTCGCATTGCTTTCATGTTCAATCTGCCTTCTTTAGCTCAATATTGGAGGGGAGACTCATACCTGACTTTTTGTATGTAGCTTCACTTTGTTCTCTCTCATTGTGGTATGATTTCTATTCTATAAATATACTACGAACATTTCATTATTTATGTTTAAGTTGTTTTTAGCATAGGACTCTTATAAATACTTACATGTATCATTTTATGTGTATTCTTGTATATGTATGTATGCATATATTTATTTTTAACTTATTTTATTATTTATATATGCATCTATGATAAATATAGTAACCTCTGCTTAATGGCAGGGGATACATTCCAAGACCTCCCGTGGATGCTTCAAACCACAGATAGAAATAAACAATATTTATGTGGTTTATATACATACTATTCTTTCTGCTATACACACATATTTATGATAACATTTAATTATAACTTAGGTACAGGAAGAGATTAACAATGACTAATAATAAGCTAAATCAACTGCCATAATATGCTATAATAAAAGTTATATAATACTGAGGATTTATTTCTGGAATTTTCCATTTAATATTTTTGAACTTTGCTTGACCATGAGTAACTAAAGTGATAGAAAGTAAAACACTACTGTATATACTCTGGAGTGAAAAGTGATGTCATAGGTTGTATATATCCCACTATCATACTTAATGTCAAGTAGGTGTCCAATGTACACATCAAAGAGTATTATTTGGGTGATTAGTTGCTCGACATTCTCAAGTACACTTGATATTATTAGTCTTTTGAAAGAAAATCTGATGGCATGCAGTAATATTTTCTTATAGTTTTAAATTGCATTACCTTGATGTATAGTGATGTTGAGAAGTGTTGCACATGCTTGTTGGCTATTTTGCTATGTTCTTTGAGAAGCCCCTATTCAAGTCATTTGTGCATTTTCTATTGAATTGCCAGTAGTTTTTATTGGTTTGTAGAATTTAATGCTTCTTTTCTAGTTATGAGTCCTTTATTGAAATTATGTGTTAATAATATCTTCTTTTCTTCTAGGGATTGCCTTTTATTTTCTAAATAGTGTCTTGAAGAAAAAAATTCTTAATTTTAATGTCATCTAACTCAATTGTATGTTTCCTTTTATTTACTGGGTTTTGTTTACTCTTTAAAAAAATGTTGACCATACTCAAGGTCATGAAGATACCCTTCTGTATTTTTCTAGAAATTTTAGTGTTATCATTCAAAATTAGATTGATAATCCAATTAGAATTATTTTGTATACTATGTGAGCTTATCATTCAAATATTCCCTTATCAGTATTCAACATTTCAGCATCACTTATTGAGATTACAATTTCTCTACTGAAATTATATGGGCATACAGGCTCAGAAGGCCAAAAGCCACATATGTGTTTTCTCTCATATGTGGAATACAGACCTAATACAAATGTAGTAATATTATGAAAAACAGGTCATACTAAGAGGGAGGTCACATACAAGAGGGTAAAAGAAGAGTACTATGAAGATGAATATGGTTGATATTATCTCTAAACCAGAACGAATCTAGAATTCTTTATAAGAAAGGGATGAAGGTAGAATGTAAAAAAAATAGAAGGGATGAAACAATTGGGGTTATAGTACACATATACATGAAAATATCACAAGGAAACTCCCTGTGTAGCTACCTTTATCCCAAACAAGCAAAAATGTCATTCTTTCTTTCTTTTTTCTTCTACAAAATCAGAGAATAGGAGGGCAGAACAAGTGCTGCCCAGTTGTGGGGTGGGGGTGTGGGTACCAGTGGGAGGGGGAAGGTGGTGGGGAAAGAGGATACGAGGGTGAATAAAGTATAAAAATTGTTTACACATGTATGTAAATGCAAAAATGGTACCTGTTGAAACCATTCCAGGAATGGGGGAGGAGGGGATAATGGAGAAAGGTGGAGGGAATGAATTCAAGTATGCTATTTTTGATACATATCAAAAATACATATCATTTTGTACATGCCACAGAGAAATTAGTACATATTTAAAATTAGTAATTAACATAGTTTGAAAATCATACCAATGGACTAAGATAGTATCTGGAAACAGAACCACATTTATAGGGTCAGTGGATTTATGATAAAAGATCATAGCAGTTAGGTGTGAAAGCATCAACTTTCAGTGATGCTGACTGGGATACCACAGAATAATACATAAAGTGTGGTCCTATTTGAAACAATTTTATTCAAGATGGATCATATATGTTAATATGAAAGCTAAAGAGAAAACTTGTGGTATGATAGCTTTATGATTTGGATTACACAAAGATTTCAACAAGTAATCCTTTTATTACACAAAATGTAACAACGTAACTACCACTTTTCCTAATCTCTTCTCTTCTCTCCTCCTCCTTTTTCTTCATTTCTCTCTCTCTCTCTCTGTCTCTCTCTCTCTCTGTCTCTCTCTCTCTCTCTCTCTCTCTCACACACACACACACACACACACACACACACACACACACACATACTATCTCATGTTCTCACTCTCACTCTCTTTCTATATATATTTGGTTTTCTGCAAGCAAACCTGTCATAACCCGAGGCAGAAATACCCGCAGAGTTTATGTATGTCAGATGTGAGCAATTCCAATTGGTCTAAATTGACTTGTATCTTTCAAGTTCCAACTGAAGAACTTTGGGGAATCTTAGTATTTGGAAGATTGGGTATGGTTAAAGGCACTCATTCAGAAGTAATAGGAAATAAAATACTAATATTTTTAATCAAATGGAACAAAACAATCCTAATTGCTTCATCTTTTCCCTTTAAGGCAAACTCCTGAGCCTGACTTTTCTTTCTCCTTACCATTGACCTAGTTTTTGCTTTTTGTTTGTTTTCTTTGAACCACAATGCCTAACCTGTGAATTTTTTAGAAATGAATATTCTTGGGCTCTACCTCAACTCAGATAATAAGTATCTTTGGGGGTATGGTCAAAAGCACTGTGTTTTAGCTGCTCTCCAGGTGATGGTTATGCATGTTAAGGACTGAGAGCCACTCAGAAAAGGAGATTGGAAGCTAATGATATGTATTTTAATCCAGGTATTATTATTAACTTTCAAAATCCCTGTTTTCACAGGATCCAGTGTAGTGTTGGCCATATATTAGATAACCATAAAAATTGAGTTGAGGAGAGGATTGCCTGATTCATTTAATACAATGCCTTTGCACATTCTAAAATATATAGTATATATTTCATTTTCTCCATTCTCTAACTAGTCAGAAATTTCAGACAAGAAAAAATTTGAAAACAATAACTGATGCTTATGATAATATTCCTGAAGTGATACCAAGATACAAGCTCTCAACTGCCAAAGATATTTTGCTCTCTGTGTTTAGATTGGCATTAATGCTTGTCCTATTGGCTTTGAACAAGAAAAGTCAAGATGTCAGTCTGAGAAAGGACAAAAAGATTAGCATCTTTTAGGTTGGTTGAGTTTGTATGTTTGCTAAATTACTCTAGTAATACCTTTAATGTATTCTGAGAAAATATTTTGCTAAACGTGCCAGCAAAGCAATGCTAAATCTAAAGAGAATCCCTGAGGAGTAAGAAAGTAGAAGAGAGGAACAACTTGCAGTAGAATGAAAGTTATTGAAGATATGTCTCAGGGAAGGTGAAATAATAATAGAAAACATTGAACTAAAAGTAGAATAAAATAACAAAAGTAGTTGGATCTAAAATTGAGAAAGTTAAAAAAGATATGCAAACAAAATCATGATTTATTAGAAGAAATCACTTGGGCTAGAAAGCAGATGTAAGATAGAGTCATTCTTACCTCTTCTAATTGCACCATGAGAGTGACATTGTGCCCTTGTTCTGCTGTCAGCTTTCCATCAGCTGTGACAATCCGGAGTCCACGAGGGGCCTTCCCTGGACACTTCTGTGATTTAGCAGTATACCGTTCTCTCACCCCATCAGTGCAGTTGTTGGAGACCACCTTCCTATACCTATGTGGAAAAAAGCTCAAGTCACAACATCATCAACAATCTCATAGTCACCCAGTTTCTATGCTTTTAGGAAAATTAAGGTTAATTCATATAAAACATCTAACAGGGAGACAAATTATCAGAGCAACACATTGTATTTACACATAGCATTTTAATTGACTTCATTTATTCATTTAATCAACTGATGAATCATTTCTTCGTCTTGGAGCTATAGGAAATACACAGAGGTAAAAGACTTTGTATCTATTCTCATGAAGTTAATGATTTAGTTGAAGAGACCTAGATAATTTAGGCAATAATTCAAAGAAAATATAATTAAGAACTAGAGCGAGTAACACAGTAGTCCCTGTTGCCCACAGGGTATGTATTTAAAGACACACAGTTGATGCAGGAAATGGGAGAGAGTAATGAACCCTACAAATGCTGCTATTTCCTATACATACATATGTATATTTCCTATACATACATTATAAGTTAGCCAGAGTAAGAAATTAATAACAACTAATATAAAATAGAATACTTATAACAATATTCTGCAGTGATGTGAATGTGGTCTCTCTCTCTCTCTCTCTCTGAAAGTATCTAAGTATTCACCTTGCAATGACATGAGATGATGCAATGTCTGTATGATGAGATGTAGTCAGGTGAATGACAAGCATTGGGTCGGGCAAGATTTCATCTCACTGTTCAGGATGGAAGACACTTTACAACGTATGAATCATTCACTTATGGAATTTTTACACCTAATATTATCAGACTGAAGTTGACCATGTGTAACTGAAACTGTTGGAATGTAAACTAGGGACTTCTTTATATATTGCAAGGGAATTTGCAATTCAAAGAAAGAAGAAATTATTTTGGATATGTAACTCTATGTTAAATCTACAGAATGCAAATCAGGCACAGTGGCTCATGCCTGTAATCCCACCTACTCAAAAGGCACATATTAGAAGGACTGCAGTTTGAGGCAATGCAGGGAAAAAGCTTGGGAGACCTCACCTCAACCAACAAATGCTATGAGCCGTGGTGTGTGCCTGCCATCGCAGATACATGAGAAGGTATAGCTGTCCAGGCCAGCCTGGACATAAACATGTGTCTATATCTCAAAAGTAACCAAAGGGGCAGTGGCTATAGAGTGCTATAATAATGGAGTATTAAAGAAAAAGTTGGCTATATTTGATAGTTTTCATTCATTATTTCATGAAAGGCCATCCTGATAAAATTATTGAAACCTTACATTAAGGATGGTCTAGTTTCAACAAACTGAGTAAATCCTTCTTACTCTTGTGTTTATTTCTTGTATTAACTTTGATAGAAAACTGTCCTAATATAATTTAGCAATGCATAGTAAATTAGAATCTGGTTTTATTATGACCAGCCACTAAGAATTTTGAAGTTCAGAGGGCAGGGAGCACCGGTCAAATGGTAGAGTGCCCCCATAGCAAGTGTGAAGACATGAGTACAAAGCCCACTACTGCCAAAAAAAAAAAAACTTTTTTGAGAAGTTCAGTACTACCTTTTCAATTTTTTACTCTGGAATCCACAGGAACTACTTTATGTATTTATGTAATTGATTTCTCAAATCCACTTGCCTAGAGGTAGTAATAGAGCTCAAATTGGAGGCAAAGCTCCATTTTCCTCTATTCTAGATGAGAGGTGGGCAAATATTTAATATAAAGGGCCAGATGGTGAATTTTTTAGCTATGCAGGATATACACCTTTGCCATATCAACTCAATTCTGTGACTGTACCATGAAAGTGGACAGACAATACATATAAAATGGGTAAGGCTAGATTCCTATAAAACCTTACTTGCAACATTGGCAGTGGGTTGCTTTTGGTCTGCAGATACTTTTCCAATTTATTGAAATCTAGCCATTGTCTTTTCCTCTGATGCTGAATTTCAAGACTGACTACATAAAAGTAGAATTGAGAAAGTCAGAAAAGATCCTAAAAAAGTGCTGTGAACACTATGGATCAGTTCAAAGTCATCTAATAGGGTAGGTGCAAGGATTAAAAGGGTTAATGTGGGTGAATTACTTAAAAATACCCTATTAGATATACCCAAAAGACTGTTACTCCAGAGGCACCTGCACATCCATGTTTATTGCGGCACTATTCACAATAGCCAAGTTATGGAAACAGCCAAGATGTCCCAGCACTGACGAATGGATTAAGAAAATGTGGTATCTATACACAATGGAATTTTATGCAGCCATGAAGAAGAACGAAATGTTATCATTCGCTGGTAAATGGATGGAATTGGAGAACATCATTCTGAGTGAGGTTAGCCTGGCGCAAAAGACCAAAAATCGTATGTTCTCCCTCATATGTGGACATTAGATCAAGGGCAAACACAACAAGGGGATTGGACTATGAGCACATGATAAAAGCGAGAGCACACAAGGGAGGGGTGAGGATAGGTAAGACACCTAAAAAACTAGCTAGCATTTGTTGCCCTTAACGCAGAGAAACTAAAGCAGATACCTTAAAGCAACTGAGGCCAATAGGAAAAGGGGACCAGGAACTAGAGAAAAGGTTAGATCAAAAAGAATTAACCTAGAAGGTAACACCCACACACAGGAAATCAATGTGAGTCAATGCCCTGTATAGCTATCCTTATCTCAACCAGCAAAACCCCTTGTTCCTTCCTATTATTGCTTATACTCTCTCTACAACAAAATTAGAGATAAGGGCAAAATAGTTTCTGCTGGGTATTGAGGGGGGGAGCGGGAGGGGGTGGAGTGGGTGGTAAGGGAGGGGGTGGGGGCAGGGGGGAGAAATGAACCAAGCCTTGTATGCACATATGAATAATAAAAGAAAAATGAAAAAAAAAAATCTTTCATACCCATAAAAAAAAAAAAAAATACCCTATTACTTAGCAAGTGCATGTGAAACACTGTCAGTCATCTCACTTTTACAGTATTATTTCTCTTCCTTGTTCACAATCTTCATGGCTTCCAAATGCTCTCAAGATAAGTTGCAAATCCTCTGATCCTTCACATAAAACCCTCCCCCTGCTAGCTCATTCTACTTCTCTAAATTCTTCCTCATCAACAAACTCATTTTATTCTAGCCAAATCTTCTTTTAATACCTTTGGAAGTACTTCTTTTCTTCTGCTCTATCTCCTTCTATGTCCTCTTGCATTCCCCATCAGCCACATAAAACTTATCCACCCTTTAAGGTACAGTTTACTTCCTGCCTTCTCTAAGACATTTTCCCTGACTATGATAGTAAGGCAGTAAAAAAAAAAATCATTATTTTGAGAGTGCTTCCTGTATTCTAGTTATAGCACTAATTTCTTTACATGAATTGCCTGAATTATTTCAAAAATATTCCTAATAAGGAAGATATTGTTATTATTCCCAATATACAGAGAAGGAAGTTGAGACATATAGATGTTGATTAGGTTTCTCAAGATCCTATAGCCAGGGCCCTATACTATTTATCTTGGAATAAATCCTTTCTTTATCACTATATTGCAGTGCCCCTTTTAAATGGAATACCACTGGCTCTCCTCTAAACTCCTGAGTCTTTATGATTTATTTCACAGGAATCGTTTGCCTTGTATGATTTACTTCCTGTGTGTGACTATGTGAACTTAAAAGTCTTAAGGGATTCCTTGTGCCCCAGGAAAGCAAAGTTAGGAATCAGAAGGCCCACATTTGTAGACCCATGTCAGTTTATATGTTGAAAGACCTGCATGGCAGTTTGTTATTACCACTCTCCAAACACTCCAAACCCTATCTGTGTTGGTGATTCCTATGCTTGGAGTCCTCATTTCTCCCCACATTCCAGCAACTAAGGAGTTAGCACCCAGCTTTAAGGTGGGCCTTTAAAACCCTGCTTTAGCACCAAGACCACTGCCCAATCTTATTTGTCATTGTCATGCCTGTGCATTTGAAACAGTTTTAGAAAAATCTCTTTTTTAAATGGTGTTCATGAGGGTAGCTGTTTAAAAGAGAAAAATAAGGGCAGATAGGAGAGAGAAAAAATTGCTCAAGGTGCAGGCATTAGAGAATGGTAGCATTCTGGTACCAGCAAGGGTAGTAAGAAAATGACAGCGATACCATCCAGGATAATTATAGCATCTCAGTGAGTTGAACTGTGCATCAGAAACTGCCTGTGTGTTTCAGAGGTGAAGCACTGTGCAAATGAAAAGTGGGTTGTGATTTTTAATCACTTAGCATCCAAGCACACCTGTGGATCTGTCTTGGCATACAACTATAGAAGCTGGGCTCACAACCACTACTTGCATCATCAGCTCCAGAGCATCCCTTTTGTTTGCCTCTGTTCTAACCAATCATCACCTCAGGCTTTCCTGAATTCTGCAGCAACAGGATTCTGCTTAAATCCAAAGCACAAATCTATACCCCTGGTATTCTGCCACAGAGAAGACTGTTGGTGATTTTTTAAAAATGCTCATTAAAAACAATTCTGAATCCATTTTATTTCTTGGATGAAAATGGCATCACATTAGCCCTACCAGACCTATCCCTGAAATTTAGAAGAAAATTGTGCAGAAAGACAGAGTTAATTTACTCAAGTAGGAACACACCTGCTTTTTGCATTACAGAATGGTTCTATTTTCATCTCAGCAGCTGTCCCTAGGTCTGAGTTACATAAATGAATAATGCATTTAATATGTTATTAAATGGAGCTGCTACCTCTGTAATAACAAGGCAACTTATGATTATGTTGGACCTGAGCTCTGAATATTACTGGATGCATTTAGTTGGTAAAGCATTCTTCAATCTGCCAAGAAGAAAAGTGCTTTGTAATGGCAAGGGAGTCTTTGTACAATTACTGAAAAGGAAACATTCTGCAAATGTGCCTTTGATATTACCTACAGCTCATCAGTAGACAGTGCCTTATTACTCCAACAACCCAGATTTCAGCTATTCTCTTCTTTCCTATCTTGATATGCCTCTGCCACCTCTTCCTTTTTTACCCATACCATCTTTGATTTTGTTTCTGTACTGCCTGGAAATCTTATAAA